GAGCGAGTAGCTGATTTCATATGGGAATTAGTGAAACGTTACTAAAGGTGTTAGTGGAAAATTGGCTTGCTCTGGTTCCAAGGACGGAGTTCAAAAGCGAATGGACTTATGTTGTCCATAATGGTACTCCATGCATGATTTGAGCCATTGTTGCTATTGCATTACCTAAAAGTTGTATAAATGAGTATTTTGATGTTGTTATGTAATTAAGTTATTTGGGCTAACGCTGATGAGTTATCCTAATTTATTTGAAACTAACTTTTGATATTTTGGTGTAAATGTGTTGTTTTAAGTTACTCAATTGGAATGCTTGGAAGTTGATTAAGTTGTTGTTAGGATATCTTTTGCATACTTTTAAACTATTATATATCTTGAGCATATTCTCACCCCTTTGTTTTTTGTGGTGGTTCTGTGCTCCTTCTTAGGGTACAAACAAGTAGATAGATGAGTAGTTGCTTTATATCTGAACGATGACATTGATCCTATTCTTCTTTTTCAGTTTATGCATTTTAGAATTCGTTGCTCTTATATGTAACATTGAGTGGACGAACGTTTATGAATTGTTATATTATTATTTTGAGTTGTTGTTGTGAGAGTTAGAAGTTATAACTACTGATGTTGCATGCTGTTTGATGTTGAGTACATTTTGTTATAAGTGAGTTTTATTTTAAAAAGAGATTTATTCATGAAACTTTATTGATTGTTGAGTTGTGTTGTTCATTTAATTCCAATGCGATGAACCTATTTAAAGACAAGCATGTGATGACGGGTCTTCATAGTATATTATATTTTATTTAACCTGTCTTACGAAGAAGGTTTATATTGTGTTTACATGACACCTTATATGTACACAGTGGTATCAGAGTAAGTTGGTTTATCCGGCCAGATTTTGTTATGTTGTATGTTGCTAATATTTCTGCTGCATGTTACTATATGTCTTCGTACTGTTGAAGGGTTGTTGTTGAGACAACTTAAATTGTCGATTAATTCTTTAAATATAAGTTTCGGAATTTAGGGGTTTACATTGAGTATTTCCGAAACATTCCTTTAGATACGAGTTACTAACAACTAAGTTGGATCAAAGTATAATCTAATGGATCTCAAAGAGAATTATGGTATTAGAAAGGATCTCATTCAAATTAATATCTCATCTCATGTTGTTTATATCTTTTTTGAAATATATGATTTATTTTCGGTGTATGAATTTTTTGCTTATTGTTTGTGTATGCTTGATTAGTTTATTTGATTCGATAATTACCGTGAGATTTATTTAAACATTTTTTTACATAATTAGACACTTTTTATGGGAATTATTATAACTTTTTTGTATATAATAATCAATTAGAAATTTTTTATCATTAATTAAATGTTTTATATATAGCAATCAAATTAGAAATTTCTTCATATAAATTATTGATTAAATTTACTGATATTATAACCTATTAACTTTCAAATATTATCTTTATTTCTATTATATAATTTTAATACCATTTTCACTTATAATAAAAAAAAAAACTTTTGCCCCTCTCCCTATTTCTAGTATAATATCTTTCTTTTATTTTTGTAATCATTTATTACAATGTATCTATTTAGAAGTAGGTCTTTTTTAGAAATCTTTTGGACCTTTTAGGTTTTTATTCTCACATTCTCAATTACTAATATTCAAACCCGTATTTCTAACTTACTTTTTATTTATTACATAATAAAATTCTAACTTTATCATCTTTGAAAATAAAATCATAAACATTTATATAATTTCAAGCTTCTTTTCAAATCAAATTAATTTCAACATTCTTACAAATAATAGGATATACATCCTCGATAATTAATTGGTTGGCTTAACGCCATAGTGGTTGGTTATTCAAATCAAAATATCTAAAATCAATTACGAACAAATCAAATCAATTTCTTTGTCTGATGCGATTTAATTTTAATAAGAATCCACTTTTTATATAAATCAATTACTTCGTCTCGCGCAATTTAATTTTAATAAAAATAGACTTTTCTTTAATCAATCAAAACAGTTAACCAACAAAAAAAAAAAAGAAAAAAAAAACATTTTTTACTACTTGAATGTTGAATAAGATATCCGAAGGAATGTATTTAATAAAAAGCAGAAAATTCAATAGAGCTTAGCTTGTTTTATGTCATCAAGACTAACTTTGATATATAGTAATAGACACGGCGTGTGAGTCATTATTTGCAATTTTGAGAGAGCATGAAAAACTAGACTTTTTAGTTTAAATAATTTTCCACATACGGCACTTGAGTATGATAATAATTAAGGTCACGTTTGTGGCCTATATAAACTTGCCTCAATTCCCACATTCTACTTACAAAATACTCTCTTCTCATCCTTATTATTAATTGTGTAATTAACTCCCAAAAAAATGTCTGTAATAAAAATATCAGTATTTTCTCTATTTAGTCTGTGCTTGATATCTGCACAGGCAGCGAGATTTGACATCGTTAACCAATGCTCATACACTGTCTGGCCAGCTGCCATCCCCAGCGGCGGCGGTAGGCAGTTAAACTCTGGCGAAACATGGAGTATAGACATCCCAGCTGGAACCGCATCTGGCCGAGTTTGGGGCCGAACTGGTTGCAATTTTGACGGCTCAGGCCGTGGTAGTTGTCAAACCGGTGACTGTGGTGGTGCCCTAAGTTGCAGCTTATCTGGTCAGCCTCCAACTACACTTGCCGAATTTACCCTTAACGGTGGAAACAACCAGGATTACTTTGATTTATCTGTGATTGATGGTTTCAACATTCCAATGCAATTTGCTCCAACCTCTAATGGGTGCAACAATGTAAGAACTTGCCAACAATCTTCTTGCCCCGATGCTTATCAGTATCCCACTGATGATACAAAAACAGTTTCATGCCCAGGTGGTACCAACTATAGAATTGTCTTCTGCCCTTGAAATATATAAATACCTCCACCACTCTTTTATGTTTCTTTCTACCGCCAATAAAACAAAATGTAATATTGTCAGTATTGCTTAATTTAGACTTGGAATTAATTACAAATAATTTCTCGTCAATGCAATATTATGAAATAAATAAATGAGAACTTATATGGATCTACTCATTTTTCTATCTGTTATTAAATAAGGGAGCTTCTAAGGTGAACTTCGCATATTAATTTTTTTTGTAGTATTTTAATTGATCAGTCAAAACATACTACTATAAGTCTAAACTGTCAAATCATTATTTTATAAGAAACTTTCATTTATTGTATATCAGTCCTTAATAAAATTAATTCTAATTGAAAATAATTTTTATTTGACAAAATCAATTATGAATTGAAATTCCTAAATTTCAAACCCACATTTCAAAAGATCGACATCATCTTCTTCTTCTAATCCTCCATAGGTGCAGACCGGATTCATATTTATTTCAGTTCATCATTCACTCTGTTATCATCACATTCATCTTCATTCAAGGGTATCGAAAAAATTTCATCTTCGTTGTGCTATTGTCTCACCCAGATTCACAGTGGAATGACGCCTTCTTTTTTCACAGGTAATTGTTCGTATCCATCTCAATCTTTATATTTTTCCAAAGTCAAGTTGATTTTAGTTATTATGCAATAATTGATCGAATTGGATATTAATTTTGTATATGTAGTTGAAGTTGATTTGGTGATTACGGTTTATATTTTAATTTGAAGCTGATGTGATTTGTGAATTGTGGTTTGTATTTTAAGTTGAAGTTGATTCAATTCTTATGAAGGAATTATGCAATTTGGGACTAGGGTTTATATTTTATGAAATTCATAAATTCATAAAAAATGCATTTGAGTTGAATTGGTAGATAGTGAAATTATCGTAATTTAATTGAATCTTCAGGGTTTCAATGGAATTATTTGTTTTTCAATTGCATAAAGAGGAATTTATATTGTGATATTATTCAAATTTAAGTTGTGGTTGTGTATTATTGTGAATTTTTTTGATGATTTATTCTTCAAATATCCTGCAGTTAAGTAATGGCTGCAAACAGTTTACTCAGAGTGTTTGAACACGAAAGCACACACTAAATAAGGCTTGCATGAGTAAACAAAACAAAATTAATTCATGAAGGTTATCCCACTTAATGGAATAGAGTTTGATTTTTGTTTTTGTTTTACTTTTATAGATTAAATATTTCGATAAACAACAGTAGATTAGGAATGAGGGTTTGTTCAATGGACTATGTAAGACTTTAACTTTACTGGTATCCTATTGTTGGACAATGTTTTTCATCTTTTTTGCGAGGTTCATTCTGTAGCGACAAAAATGTAGAGACTAAACCATTGATCTGACTTGACTCGCACAAATCAAATAGAAATCGACACCACACTCTATTGTTTCCATATGAATGGGAAAAGTGCGAATAAACCCCAAAGAGAGGGGAGAGAATCTAGGTACTGGTGTTGGTTATGTAAACGAAATGTATTAGCACTCTAAATATCTACAGTACTCCACAAGAACCTCTTTGAAAATTTGTGTATTTTGGCTATAAATGTTGTATACAAAAATAGATGGTGGAGATGAGAAAAAAAGTATTTTTACAGTGAATTCGAGTGCACGCTCTTTATTATCCTACTTCTCATGATATCTAGAAAGCTATAAAGCGCGGAAAGATAAACCAGAAGCAGTGTAATACCAAACGGATAAAATGTCTGTTAAACAAGAAGCAAGTGAAAGCAAAAATACTTCGGAAAACTTCGAGAAAGCTAGCATCAAAAAATGAAATAGTCAGAAAACATGCGCTCGACATAAGCATCAAAGTATATCATGTGTCATGTGCGTCGGACACATCCTCACATCAAACAGAACACCTGCACAATGTACATATCCAGACAAAAGTAAGCAACACATATTTCTCATAACAATGAGAGTCAACAGGTAAGCGCATCAGAAGCGTATATGATCCACAATTAAAGTGGCATATCAATTTACCAAGATTAGGTAATTGATAAAAAGTATCTTCAATGTGCCTTGCACAAGTCACCACACATGTTAGAAACCACACATGTTAGAAATAATAAGGTAAAATCAGAATTGCACATTCTAATCACAAGTCAAAATATGATCAAAACATTTCAAATAAAATGCAAGCATGTAATGCAACATCAAAATGGAAATCCGGGCTGCATGTACATCATACAAAATAACGCACAAAATGTCAGTCCAAAACCAACACAACTTGATACACATGTCTTACAATGACCAAAAACAAATGCAATGAAGTATAAACCAACAATTAGAAACAATTTCGGATGCGCTTTACAAAAAGGGACAACACTACGATTATTTGAAGAATTAACCCAAAAAATGTATTAGAACGAAGCAAACTCAATCACAAAGGTTATGAACGAACCATAAAACATAAGCATACATTATGTGAAGATTAAACTCAATACACATGTTAAAAAAACATCAAATAACACTATATTCAAAAATTAAGCGCGCAAAAGGTCGGAACGGAATCGGCTCATAATCGCATGATTAGCTACAAATGCACCAACAAACTAAAAAAAGTATATGCATCGGGTAAATTCCAAGCGCAAGTACCATTTACCTTTCTCGGGGAAACAACGTCGTAATCATGAGAAATGCGCGGAATTTCGATCCGTAAGAAATAAAACTTGGAAAAATATTGTCCAAACATCAAAACCAAGTGCCTTGATTATTAACCATTGAGAAAATATAACCTTATGCTCAACTTACCTCTCCGGAAGCCATTTGAAATAACAAAGAAAGGCTCAGAAAAACGTCACGGAAACGGTGTAGTTCAACCGCAATGGTCCACAAAAGTGCCAAAGCACATGAATAAGCACTAAACAAATTTGAAACACAAATACAAGACGCTTATGATTTCTGGACAGCCGTGTATGTAAACTGTAATTAAGTAAGAAATTAGTTTAAAACTCACAAACGGATGTAAAACATGCACCGGTTCACATATCCACCACATAGAAATCATAAACACTTTGTAACCTTAAAAATTACATTCAAACAGCGCTTTTAAACCATAAATCAAGTGTTGAAATAATTTCCGGATTTGAAGCTTGTACATTGAAAATGAGAGTCTGTTCATAAAAATGAATTGGAAATTATGTCAACACATGATTACTCAATCAACATCTCAATAAAAATTCCGTAATTGACATGTGAACTCATAATTCAATATTCGAGATTTCAACAATTTTTCACCGAATCGAAAACAAAGTTCACATCAATTATGCAATTGTTCAACCTATGTCTCTTTTCACCATTTTACACAATGTCAACAACTCAAGGTTAAAATATACTCAACAATTCAATTTAAACTCATGAAAATATGCTCAAAACTCAATCAATTATGGTTCAAGCATTTCATCAAACACATAATCTTCAAGAAAATCAACTCATGCTTCAAATAATTCAAGAATAAAAAAAACTCATGAACTCATATAACCTTCAACTAATTCCTTTTATAAACATTATCACAATTCAAGAATTAAGGTTATATGCACAAATTCAAATCGAATTCAATTCTCCAATTCCCAAACAATATCCAACAGCTTAATTCAATTCACATATTAATCAAAACTAAGAAGAATCAAATATAGAAATATTATCGAATGAAGTGAAGAGGAGCTTGAAGTTGATCGAAGATGCTTGACTGTAGAACAATACATGAACGGAGGGAGGCGATGCAAGCCACGAATCTGCGGCTGAATGAGGGAGAAGGAGTCGTTGGTTTCCGGCGGAAGGAGAGAGGGGAACCGTCCGTTTCTGGCGGTGGCGGCAAGGGTGGAAGGCAGTGGTTCGGTGAGTGCGGATTTGAGGGGAAAGAGGAAGAGATTTAGGTGACTTTTGGTTTTCCGGCATGGTGGTTTTGGAATTCCGGTGGTAGTTGTTGGTGGTTGGTGGTTGGTGGTTGTTGTGCAACTTTTGAGTTGAGAGAGTATAGAGAATGTTTATGAGAGGTTTTGAGGTTTTTGGTGGTAAAATGAAGTTATGAGAGTAAAACTTGAATTTTTGAATATATAGGGTGGCTCCAAAGCCTTGTTTAGCTTGCATTTTCAATTTTCATGACCCGTGGACACTAAACCCTCAAACATATTTCAACTGGTGCAAAATCTAGACACAGGACTAACAACAAAATCGTAGCTGACGAAATATGTGACGCGGTGCCGAGAGAATGAACTCAATCGAGTAAAAATCAAGTGTTGGATAACTTTAAATGGAAAAACCTCAAACCGAAAATTATATAAGTGGATTTTTCAACTTATTTGAAGCTTAATTGACAATGTCGTGCCTCTCGGAGCAAGATACAAACTCGGGACCTGAAGTAAAGTCGAAGGCGATAAAATACGTGATGCGATGCAAAAGTAACACACCCAATTAGATGAACGACGAGAAAGTTATGAATTTCCGAAGATGCACCGATGCATAACAGAGCTAGCTAAAACAATTTTTTTTCAATTAATTTCACCGTTCAGTTTGAAAGAATGCCACGAACGAAAATCCTCCAATAAAATTAAAATCGGGGTCTGAATCAAATTTGTAGTTGACATCATTTGTGAAATTATGCCAAAAGAACCGTCTCTATACGATAAAAATTGAAGAAGTTATGATTTTTACAATATCGGAAAATAGTGAGTTAAAGTTCCAGTTCAGCACAATGAACTTCTCTAGTAATCCATAATTTCGGGGAATTTCCTCAAAGAACCAGCTCTCGGCCTGAACATATGAATCGTAGATAAAGCAAGATGGATTTTTTTACCCAAGAACGACTCAAAAAAAATGATCCAGGAGAAAGTTATTAATTTTTGAACGTCCGTAAAATAACGGTTCAGCATAGTATTTTCACTATTTTTTCACTATTTAGCTTCAAAGTATCCGCGCATTCAAAAATCTTCCTCAAAGAATTGGCTTTCGAGACGAACATGAAAGTTGGAGGAAATAACAAGACGATTGAAATGCTCCAAGAGGAACTCAAAGATGATACACCAGTCAGAAGTTATGAATTTTTAAGAATCCAAAAATCAGAGAAACGGTAAATCCACTGTATACCCTAATTCAAGTATTTTGCATTGTAGAAAATCTTCCTTACAAAATTAGCTTTTGACATGAACATATGAAATGAAGAAGACCTCAAGACAATTCTAATGACTGAAGAATCAATCCCAAACCATTTTATGATCTCGAGTTGTGAATTTCAGAGCTTGTAACGCACCGTATTGAATTTCTGTCTGCACGGTCTCAAATAAACTGAAATGCTTGACTTTCTGCATAATCAAGAGTGTGTTGAAAAGCATAAGAGCTTGATATGATTATGACTTGCTTGGTTTTTGATTGGATAGCTTGTACACTATACGAAATCTCATAAAAATGCAGAAAACCCTGAGTTATGCTTCATAGAGCTACTTAATAAAACAGTTGTCTTTTGCAGTTCTTTTTACAAAGAAAACCCTTGATTCCATGAGTATAATCCTAATGAAACGTATATATGTACATGGTTATGAAGTATAAGGAAATTAGGTTCAAAATGAAGAGGGGAATTTTTGGGGGTACAACACTCACGTTTCTTCAAACGTTGACGCTCCGAGTAGTTACTCGATGTTGGTGCTCGAGCAAATCAAGTGAAAAGAGTTTCTTACTCCCACTTTGAGATTCGTTAGACTATTTGTTTGTTGTTTTCTCGCACTCAATTTTTTTTTAGTGTTAGTTAGAATTTTTTTATTGCACATGTGCTTGTACTTTTCTTTACACCTTTATATGTTCCCTTAGGATTCACTTGTTTCGTGTTTGATGCAAGTTGGACATTAGGATCGTAATCTATGCATGCTAACATAGGTAGTTCCTCCCTTTCAAACTCAACTATATGACCAATCATTGTATGATAACATTAGGGATATTTCTAGATAGTTTCCCTTAGATGTTTTTCTTTTCCTTTTTCATGATTAAGACTAAAACCTTTTTCTTGGAAAATGCATAAAAAACTCTAACATTTATCAAACCATTTTTCAAGGTAAAAAACGTCAACCAATCCAAACTTCTTTTGCCTTCGGGACTTTCTTTGAAGCTCTCAAAGTCAAAAAAAAGTTGATTCTTTTGGCACAACATCACAAATTTTGTCATCTTCATTTTTGCTAAAGGATTCGCGTCAGAATTTTCACCAAAAACGATGACCTTGTGGTTTGTTCTCACACTGTGCCTAAAACAAGTTGAAAATTCTGTATTATTCAAATAAGGCCCAAATTAAGTCCAAAGTAACAAAGCTTAATAAAGTGTCTATAAATTCCCAAACCCCATTTTTCACTCACTTTTTCCCCTCATTTTTTCACAAATCACTCACAAGATCAAAGAGCTCTCAAGTTTTCTCAAGAGCTCAAACAAGTAAGAAGCAAAATCACTTCTCATCCTCTCAATTTTCGGTTGGTCATCGTTCTCTACAACCTGCCGGTCACCATCTATGTTCTACCGATCGCCGTCCTCGCCCTGCTGGCCGCCACCTACTCCCTCTGTCAGTCGCCATCCTTCTGACGCGACACACTCCCTTCTGACTCTGTCATAGCGTAATCCCTCAGTCTCCTTGATCTGATTTCGGCGATGCATCAATTCTCCTCTCTGATTCAGCTTCAGTAATTTTTCGCTCATACTTAATTCAATTGCTTATTTGCTTGATTGAAATTGAATCTTGATATTTGATTTAAGTTCATGAGCATGTAAATTAATCGTTAATTAAATTAATGATAATGAACGAATGTGGAGTAGGATAGGAATTCATGGAATTATTGTTGATTGTGTGGATTAAATAGATCTTCCACTTTCCGATTGAATTTTATTAAGAAATAATGTTGAATTTATGAGTTGACATAATTTTGGATCGATTTGAATGATAATTCAATTTTGTTCGACATTAAAACTTTCGATTCAATTAGTTATGTCAACACTTGAATTGTGTTGTTTATGATCGGAAACCATTGCGTTAATACAGATTTAATTGATACAAAGTACTTGTGATATTTAGGCGGCATCACATGAATCAGTGGACATATTTTTGTATCCGTTTGTGAGTTTTGAATTCAATTTTTGATCGATACCGATACATATGTGCATCGCTTCCAGGATAGTGTAAATACCTTGTAAATTGCATTGCGAATGTTGTTCGATGCTTACTTGAGTTGGTTTACGCGTTTATGGACCGTTAATGTTGAGATTTCCCATTTTTGACATAATTTTTCAAATTGGTTTCATGCTTTAATATTGTGATGTTCGGAATTGAATGTCACATGTACATGTCATTTCAATTTGCATTTGATGTTTACTTATACATAATTGATCATTTCATGAGCATTAATATTGAGTTTTCTTGATTTTAGAACAAGTTTCCGACTAATTTCATGTATGCATACCATGTTGTCTGGATTTACAAATTAGCCTTAAAGCTTGATTTTATTATTGGTTAACACCTCATTGTACTTACTTTGGTTCATGTATGACATTTGTGATGATTCCATTGATTTTAAACCGAATTTTCACACACTTCAAATTGTAAAACAATGCTGCCCAGGTATTCTAAATGCATGTACATTCATGTTTCGATTATTGATTGATGCATCCATAATTGCATTTGAGTATTTGCAAGACATTGACGATGAGTTATTGCAGTTTCGACTTGAGATTTTGAGCCATTCATTGTATGAGCGTGTTGTTGCCCGACTTTTAGTTTTCATCTTCCATTGCTTATTTGTACCTTGTTCCTTTGCATTTCATTGTTATTTTTGAGTTGTAATTCGATATTTGAGTTTGATTTATGTTGCAATGCTATTTTCTAACTCGTTTGGTGACTTGAACATGTTTCCGAAGGATTTATCTTGCGACACGCAACATTTGGATTATTGTCTTGTTGTATAGACTTATCTTGTGCAGGGACTTTAGTTTAATGCGACGGAATTTCCGCATGCGATTTATTTTCGCATTTGCGACATTGATTATTATATTGGATATTGTTTCTGACTGTTTCTCTGTTTCTTGGTGAAGCTTGCACGAAGTTTTCAGGTTTCTTTACTTTCGTCTGATAATTGACGAATTTGTGTTTGATTGGTATTCTCTTATGTTTCCTTTATCCCTTGCATCATTTACTTCTTTCGTTGCCATGAGAAGTATGACTAAAGATAAATGACTGGAAGTCCTTGCGTTAGACGGGCAATGCTGTTTTAAAAGACATATAGTAGGAAATTCCTATATGCGCTTGTTTGTTTACCATTATGTGTGTTTACATTTGTGCAACCTTGAAGAAGGTGTCCCATTCCTATTCCCCATTGATAAGTCCTCAAAGAAGGCATAAGGCAAAGTGAGGTTCTGCAATTGACCCCCACCATTTCTAGTCCACAGGTCATTCGTAGCTTGCGTCGTACATCGATGCTACGAATATTGCTACTCTTGTATCGATTCGGTCGAGTGGAATAAGGGTTCACAATCAACCCCCTCACTTTGTCATTAGCTCGCGTGTCGTGCATGTTGATGCTCTGATGTGATCTCATTATTGCTTTCTATCTCCTACCTCGATAATATGATATCTTGGTTGGGTGTTTAGTCTCCTATAATGATTCACTCCCGTTCTTCACTTACCTAGATAACGTGATATCTTGGTTAAGAGTCGACACCCCTTATTCTTCTTACCACGATGACATGACATCATAGTTAACAACTACCTATTCCCCTCATTCTTGCTTGCCTCGATGATTTGATATCTTGGTTAAGCCCCCTTTTATCCTACCTTGATGACTCAATACCATGGTTAGGTGCCCCTTCTCCTTTATCTTACCTCGATGACGCAATATCGTGGTTAGGTGTGATCCCTCTCCCTATCCTTCCTT